ATGTAGCGCAGCTCCTGGTGGCAGTGCCGGCGGCACGCCTCGCAGGTGGCGACCTGCAGGCAGACATTGCGCGCGTGCACGTGCACCTGGAGCGCGGGGTTGTCGGCCAGGAGGGTCGCCATCGACCTGCTGTGCAGGTACGCATGGGCGCACGCGATCGGGCCAAGGCCGAGGATCGGCCGCAGCTTTAGGGTGCGCAGCGCCGGCGCCGTGACGGGGGTGACGGCCCCGGCCAGCCCGTCGAGCACGACGGTGGTCAGGCGCAGCTCCAGGTGGTGCAGGGCCGTCAGTGACGGCAGGGCGGCGAGCAGCGGCTGCAGGTGCGGGTAGTCCGAATCCTGTTCGAAAGAGCGGTGGTCGGCGATCACCAGGCACTGTAGGCGGGACCGCGCGGGCAGGGATAGGACGGAGGGACCGTCGTCTTTGTCGACATGCCGGTAAACCAGTTGCAATGCCTCTAGCTGGTCAGCGCGGCGCAGGAACTCCTTGGCGTCCAGCAGGTTTCTGCGTCGTCCTCTCACCCTAAGTACGACTTGCCTGAGCGACTTGCATGCGGCGACCGCCTGCATCTCCGGTAGCGCACCGCACGTCAGCTCGCGCAGGTTGTCCAGGGCGCCGAGCTGCACCGCGATTAAGTCCGAGGTCTTCCAGCTCGAGCTACCGGGGATCATGACTTTCTCCAGGGTCGCGGCGTGTGCGGCTAGAACGAAGCTGACGAAAGGCTCTGTTCCTGGGCTGAGGGTAAAGTTGAGAGCCTTGATGGACGCGCTGGGTGCGGGCCCGGCGAGTAGGGCTGGAGTATCCGGGCTCGGAAGCATGTCGCCGAAACCAATAACGTCGAGCTGCGCCAGGCTGCCCGTCGAAACCGCCGTCGCTAAAAGCTTTGCGTCATGATCGTCAGGTATAGGATAGGACCCATCTATAAAGACTAGTTTCAGTTTCAGCCCCTTGAGCCGTCCCAGCGCCGCCTGGTTGCGGATCACTGGACCGGCGTGCCCGAACTCGACGCAGTCCTTGGTGGTAGCAAACACCATATCCAGCCGGGTCACGGCGCACTTGGTCGCGCAACAGAGCTCGACGGGCGGTCGGTTCAATTCGTGTAAAAGGTTCAGTTTCCACGTCATGAGGCAAGGCGCCAAACGCAGGGCCTGAGTTGCGTGCCGAAGGTCTTTGATGTTCCGGTGCCGCCACGCGTCCGGGTGCAGGGCCAGTCCCCCGAGCCGCTTGCACACGAGGCGGCAGGCGAGTAGGTCCGGCACGTCCAGGAACTGCATCACCATGAGCAGCACGTCGGCCGGCAGGTCCGTTAGAAGGGGCTCCATTCCCTGTGAACAACAGTAAAACAAGGGAGGGGTTCACCACGGGATAGGCGCTATGTCTCGCGGGGGACCGACGTGGACATGACACTTGTGCTGAGGTCAGAACGGACAGCACGTGTGTGGTAACGAGTGGTAACCGGATAGACCATCAGAACAGTGCTGTTCGCCCCGCGCTCTCCCTTCCGGATACAGTACCTTGTGTGTAGCGCAGGTTCGTGGTTTGCCTGCCGCTAGTCTAGTAGTTGAGCTGGCAGCGATGTGTGCGAGGATGCAGATGGACCGCGACTAATGTCTGATGTCACTCACTCAGTACTCGGCGAACTGCGACTGGACAGGACAGGAGAAGGGGAAGGGACGACAAGGACGCGTGGCGCGTAGACTAGGGAGGGGTGGGGGGAGAGGTCGGCTGCTCGCAGCGCTGCACACGGCGTGCAGAGTAACTAGAGGGATCGCGCCTCACCCTGTGGCTTGTACTACAGTCGTCGCAGCATTACTTCTGTCTTCGGGTTTTGGTCACGTGATACCCGAATCGCTTCCGATTGGCTGCGAAGCTATTCGTCTGCCAAGTGACCCAAAACCCGAAGACTGAAGTAATCGCTGCGCCGATTGTAACAAGGACGGAGCACAGTGGAGGGTGGGAGCCTCGCCATCTCCCTTCCTGTGGCAGTCGTTTTATATTATGGGCGCTTGTCGGAGAAGAAGGGAAAGTAACACAACACACTGCCACTCAATATCATCTGAAATCTAAAAGTGTGACAATGCGACACCTCTGACCTTTGGAAGCAACAATAGATTGTGCACACGATCGTGCCTGTGAGGCTGAGGGCTGGGTGAGCTCTTTATCCACGCGGGCGCCCCCCCCCCCCTTCCCAGCACACTGGAACCAACCGCTGCCGGAGAGAGGCCGGGGACATTCCCCAGAGTAACGTGGCCGACTGTACTTTCCCTTCCCTCAACTTAAACATGTGTCAGCCGGGCGCAACGCGTCACAACGAATTCTACAATGTTCTTTACCGCGGTGTGCGCGGCCAGGATGAATTTAAAGAAACGAGCCACGTATGTTCCTCGATGAGCTTTGAGAAAGTGTCTTTTTAGACAGTCCCAACGACGGGACTAGTAGTATAATATAAAAAACTAAACTAAACTAAACTGTCTCTTTCGGACGGCTAGGTGCCCCCCCCCCCCACGTCGTCCTTCTGTAGCATAGGGCGATTGCCTCAAGTGGCGCCCAGGATTTTTTCACAAAATTATGACACTAAAGCCCAATATATATTTTGTCTGACGGTCGTCACATTCCACAGCTAGCCCAGAAGTTGATTAATGATTTCCTTAATATTGTCAATCAATTTTATTTGTCAAAACACGTCATGATTTACAAGCAGCATAGTTAGCATAGCCCTCGATCAATAGAGAAGCCTACTTAAAAAATAAGGGCACAAACAGGAAAGTTGCTGTAATGTACGAATTCTGCCCATCACTCAAAGCCAGTGACTAGCCAACCGAAATCAAGAGCGACTACCATTATTGAAAAGGAGATTATATCTTGTAATATTGATCCACAGGTATTCCTGTGGGGTGAGGACACTGTTGCAGTCGTAGCTGAGCTTCTCTCCCTTCATGAGCCAGCGAATGCAGCGCAGCTCCTGATGGCAGTGCCGTTGGCAGGCCTCGCAGGTGTCGACCTCCAGGCAGACATTGCGCCCGCAGACGTGCACCTGGAGCGCGGGGTTGTCGGCCAGGAGGGTCGCCATCGACCTGCTGTGCAGGTACGCATGGGCGCACGGTGTCCGGCCCTGGACGGGCCGCAGCTTTAGGGTGCGCAGCGCCGGCGCCGTGACGGCGGTGACGGCCCCGGCCAGCCCGTCGAGCACGGCGTTCAGCTCCAGGTGGTGCAGGGCCGTCAGTGAGGGCAGGGCGGCCAGCAGCGGCTGCAGGTGCGGGTAGTCCGAGTCCCGCTGAAAGGGGCGGTCGTCGGCGATCACCAGGCGCTGAAGGCGGGGCCGCGCAGGCAGGGACAGGACGAAGTGGCCGACGTCGTTGTCGACAGGGTCGTACCCCAGGCGCACCGACTCTAGCTGGTCTGCGCGGCGCAGGAACTCCTCGGCGTCCAGCAGGATTCTGCGTCGCGCCTCGTCCTCGGGGCCGGGAGTGAAGCCACAGACACAAAGTGAGAAGTGCCTGAGCGTCTTGCACGCGGCGACCGCCTGAAGCCCGGGCAGCGGCTCGCACTTCAGCTCGTGCAGGTTGCGAAGGCCGCCGAGCTGCGCCGCGATGGAGTCCGAGAGCTTCCTGCCCCAGGTACCGTGGAACGTGACTTTCTCCAGGGTCGCGGCGTGCGCGGCCAGCACGAAGCTGACGAAGGGCTCTGTAGCCGGAGTGAGGGTGACGAGGAGAGTCTTGACGGACGGGCTGGGCGCGGGCCCGGCGAGTAGGGCCGGGGTTGCAGGGCTCGGAAGCTTGCCGGCGAAGCCACCGATGGCGAGGTTCTCTAGGCCGCCGGTCGACACCGCCGTCGCTAACAGCTTTGCGTCCTCGTCGTCGGGTATACGATAGAACCTATCCAGCAAGAGCAGCCGCAGCCCCCTGAGCCTTCCCAGCGCCGCTTGGTTGCGGATCACTCGATCGGCGAGCTCGAACACGTCGGATTCTTTGGGCAATATGATACTCAGCTGGGTCACGGCGCACTTGGTCGCGCTGCAGAGCGCGGGCGGCGGTCGGCTCCCCTGGCACACGAGGTTCAGTTCCCACAGCATGAGGCAAGGCGCCAAACGCAGGGCCAGCGGTGTGTGCCGGTCGCCGTGGAGGTGCCGGTGCCGCCACGCGTCCGGGTGCAGGGCGAGTCCCCCGAGCCGCTTGCACACGAGGCGGCACGCGAGCAGGTCCGGCACGTCCACATGCTGCATGACGCCGAGCAGCACGTCGGTGGGCAGGTCCGTCAGAGAAAGCTCCATTGTCTGTAATCAGCGGCAGGAGAAGAGAGGCGTTAAACTACGGGAGGCACGATGTCTCGCGGGGGACCGACGTGGACGTGAAACTTGTGCTGAAGTCAGAACAGACAGCACTTGTAAACGAGTGGCAACGGGACATCATAGCGCGGGGTATGCACAGCTTGCTCAGAGTGGCGGAGCGTAGCGGGAACCAAAACAAAGCAGGAAGCAACTAAAGAAAACTACGCTATACATCCAGAAATTAGTACTATTTGCGACTATGTGACAAGGTTTCAATCAATGTGCAGCCTTTATACACACCTCTATGCATTCACATAGCACTTCTAGGAAAGAACTTAAACCGCGCTATAAAGCATTTCTTGTAGGTTATGGTGCTCTGTTTGTTTTGGTTCCCGCTACGCTCCGCCACTCTGCTCAGAGTCTCTGAGCAAGTTGTCCATCAGAACAGTGCTGTTCGCCCTGCCCCCTCTCTACGGATACAGTACCTTGCGTAGTGCAGGAGCGGAGGATCGTGTTTTGTCCGCCGTCGTCTAATACAGTAGTTGAGCTGAGCTGAGAGCTGAGGCGGCGGCGGCGATGTGTGCGAGGCGAGGCTGCAGGCCAGACCGTGCCGAGCCGCTTCTAACGTAGCGAACGACGAGCGGCGCGTAGGCCAGAAGGGGGGGGGGG